AGTAGAAATATTACGAGAATAAAGTCGAAATAGTACGAGAATAAAGTCGAAATATTACAAGAATAAAGTTGTAGCATTACGAGAATTAAGAAGAAATAATACAAGAATATTTGTAGTATTACGAGAATAAAGTCAAATATTAAGAAAATAAAGTCAAAATTATACGAGAATAAAGTCGAAATAATACAAGAATAAAGTTAAAATAACACAAGAATAAAGCCAAAATATTATGAGAATAAATTCGAAATAATATGAGAATAGTCTAAATATTACAAGAATAGTCATATTCCAAGAATAAAGTCCTAGTATTAACAGAATAAAGTCATAGAATTACGAGCATAAAGTCAAAATATTACGAGAATAAAGTCGAAACATTACAAGAATAAAGTAGTATTATGAGAATTAGGTAGAAATAATACAAGAATAGTCGTAGTATTAAGAGAATAAAGTCAAATATTAAGAAAATAAAGTCAAAATTATACGAGAATAAAGTCGAAATAATACAAGAATAAAGTTAAAATAATACAAGAATAAAGTTAAAATAATACAAGAATAAAGCCACAATATTATGAGAATAAAATCGAAATAATATGAGAATAGTCTAAATATTACGAGAATAGTTATATTCCAAGAATAAAGTCCTAGTATTAACAGAATAAAGTCATAGAATTACGAGAATAAAGTCGAAATATTGCGAGCATAAAGTTGAAATATTACGAGAACTAAGTCATATTACGAGCATAAAGTTGAAATATTACGAGAACAACGTCATATTACGAGAATAAAGTCGTACATATTTTAATGAAACAACAAAACCTTTAGGAATGGCACACAGATGGAACCACCTACAGCCTTGCAGTCGACCAATGCCAGAAAGCTCTTCCTCCACAAAAGAAGCAATATCTTCTTAATCCGTGTGGTTGTTTCTTCAAAACAGACATAGTTTTTTGCACAATTGTTTCAAAGTCCTGATGCTGAGAATAATCTGATGCTGATGTGCTAACAGATTAAGTATTTCCTTATTTGTAAAACCAATACCAAAGTATAACTTAACAAGATGCTCAACATTTCTCATTTTACCGCAGCTGTAAGACTGCTTTTTCATATTGGAGTTCTGATAATATTACAACTTTATTCTGGTAATAGTATGACTATTCTCATAATACTATGACTTTATTCTCATAATTTTATGACTTTTTTCTCATAATGTAATTTTTTTTTACTTAGCGTGGCCCTAATACTCCATCGTAGGATACTGTACAGTAAATAGTTAATAAAAAAAAATATATATACTTCTGACAGGTGCCACCATTTTGTAGTTTTCTCTCAATAAGCCTACTATGTATCTCCACTCAAAAGGACTACAATTCCCAGAAGCCAACAGTGCCCAGCCCAGAAAGTTGCCTTCTGCTGAAATGGAGGTAGTTTTGATCCGATTCGAAAAAGTTAGGTCATTATTCATACATCGACTTCGACGCTCAGCGGACGCAGAGAGCCGATCAGAACCGGACCAAGGCTGGTGAGTACCCATATAATATTTTGCAGTACTGTACAGTACATACACGTATGTTGTTAAAATGACGTAGGTTTAAGAGTTTAGAACATTGCAAGAGTGTGTGAAGGGTTTACCAAGCCTTAATATACATCTATAAATACTAAAATAAATATAACGTCCCTACTTTGCAGATTTGCACTTATTGCGGGGGGTTTCAAAACGCAACAACTGCGATAAACGAGGGACTAATGTATTTACAGGGCAGTTGTTTTTAAAAAGTTTTAGAGAGAAAAAAGCCACTTTGTGTGGAAAACGTGCAGAAAATGACCAAAAACAGGCTAAAACATGAAGCGCCTTATTAACATTTTCTGTTGTTTTAAAAATTAAATGAATTCTTTTTTAGCTTGTACCAATTTTTTCCATGACCGTGACAGTAATCAGTTTGTTGTCTCAAACCCCAGTCAGTTTCTGAGATGTGTGACTCAGGTCCTACCAGCAGGAAGTAATGGTCTTCAGGCTCTGCCCGCAGATACTTGAAGATGACCTGCTCCATGAACCTCTCCATCAGGTCCCAGTCCTCCACGATCCCGTGACGGATCGGCCACTGGCAACGAGGAGAGGAAACGGTGTTCACACTTCTATTCTCAGACGGGGAAACTCGCAGCGCCTCGGCGATTTACCTTTGTAGCGTACGAAGGTTTCTCGATGGCTTCATCTCCGATGAAAAAGTCCAGATCGTCGACTCCTCTCATCATCCTGCGCTGCGCCTGGTCGCCCACCTTGGCCGACTCTTTGATCGCAATACCTGGAGAAAACAGGACGATTTAGAGAAAGAACTTTGATGGGATGCCTTAAAACCAATCTTAAAATCAAACTTGACATATCAACTAAAACTGTCATTTTCTGCAGGTCTAACTGTGATAAGCCATTTTTCATTCAGAGGACGAATGTCTGTCAGTCTGCTGTAAAGAGATTTATTTTTTACACTGATTCATGGTTTAGTCTTATATATACAAACCCTTTCCAAAAAATTAGAATATCGTGGAAAAGTTGTTTAACTTTTATAATTCCATTCAAAAAGTTAATCTTTAATAGATGATAGATTCAGGGCCCGCAATTTAAACGATTTCAAGTATTTGTTTATTTTTACATAATTTGGGCTTCCAGCTCATGAAACCCACGAAAACAGGATTTCAAAAAAAATTTGAATACTGTGAAAACATCAGCCCACACTACTTCTCAGTTTTTGCAGGAAAAAAGAAAGAACTTATGATCACAACAACAAATCAATCAAAATATGGTACTTTCAAAACGATGTGTCAATCTTCAATACTTGGTTGTGAATCCCTTTGCCTTAATCACTGCCACGATGCAACATGGCATTGAGGCAATCAGCCTGTGGCATTGACTGGGAGTTATGGAAGCCCAGATTTCTTTGATGCTTGCTGTCAGCTCTCCTTTGTTGTTGGGTCTGGTCCTCCTCATGTTCCTCTTGAGAATACCTCATAGATTCTCAATGGGGTTTAGGTCCGGTGAGTTGGCTGACCAGTCAAGCACTGTGGCACGGGCAGGGGCCAGGTCCTGCTGGAAGATGAAATCTGCATCTCCATAAAGATCCTCAGCAGAAGGAATAATGACGTCCTCTAAAACATTCTGGTAGACTGTTGCGGTGACCTTGGATTTAAGAAAGCAGAGTTTACCAACACCTGCACCAGACATTGCCCCCAAATCATGACTGACTGTGGATATTTCATACTGGACCTCAAGCAGTATGGGTTCTGTTCCTCACCCTTCTTCCTCCAAACCCTTGGACCTTGATTTCTGAATGAAAGGAACACTTTACTTTAATCAGAAAAGAGGACCGAGGAACCCAACAGTTGTAGCCCATCTCCCGGATGCGTCTGAATGTGGTGGTTTTTGAAGTTGTAACTCCCGCCTCATTCCACTCTTTCTGGATCTCTGCCAGATTCTGAAATCTTCCTTTGTTTGATAATCTGCTGAAGCCCACTGTCATCTCTTTTGCTGGTGCATCTTCTCCTGCCACATTTTGCCCTTCCACTACTTTTGATTGATATGCTTGGACACAGCACTCTGTGAACAGCCAGCCTCCTTAGCTATGAACTTCTGTGGCTTACCTATCCTATGGAGGGCATCAATGATGGTCTTCTGGCCAGTTATGTCTGCAGTCTTCCCCATATTGAACCAAACTGAGACAATTGAATCAAACTGAAGCAATTTAATGACACCTGGGGAAACCTGTGCAGGTGCTTTGAGTTTAGTAGATGATTAGTGTCACACTCAGTTTAAAACATTCATGCCCTGCAAAATTTGGGCTGATTTCTTCACAGTATTATAATTCTTTGAAATCCTGTTTTCATGGATTTCATGAGCTGGAAACGCAAATTATCTCAAAATAAACAAAGAAATACTTGAAATCATTTAAATTGTGGGCCCTGAATCTATCATCTATTAAAAATTAACTTTTTGAATGGAATTATGGAAGTTAAAACAACTTTTCCGTGATATTCTAATTTTTTGGAAAAGGTCTGTATATAAAACAGTCTAGTAAAAGAACTGGACTGAAGGAAGTAAAAAAAAAATAAAAAAAAATATATATATATATATATATATATACCGTATTTTCCAGAGTATAAGTCGCTGTTTTTTTGCGTAGATTTGTCAAGTCCTGCGACTTATGTATGTTTTTTTTCCATATTCATAACGCAATTTTTGACTGATGCTTTAAATTTCTAAGAACTGGAACAGCGAGTCCTCCAGTGCACGCTCGCTTCACTCAGCTGGTGCAGGCGAAGGAACGCTGGAGAGCTAGCTGCTCTGGATGGTGCTGTGCCTTTTATACGTTTTTTTTCCTCTTCATGATGCTTTTTTTGACTGATGCAACTTATACTCTGGAGCGACTTATACATGGGAAAATACGGTACATAAAACAAAAGAACAATCCAATCCTGGTAATCGTTGTTAACCCTCGTATGACCAACCTGTCGCCGCCGACAGGATTTGGCTCATCTACTTCTCATTATCGTAATTCCTGAACAGTTCAACATAGAGAAATTCCAAAAGTGCAGAAAAGCTGAGAAATTGGACATTTATAATACATTACGATAGCCGCTAAGAAATTCTATGATACGAACTTGACCAGTCACAAGCAAGATTCACGGATGTGTCTTATTTGTCACCCGAGCTGCTTTGCGTCATAACTCCTGAATAGTTGATCGGATTCAAAAAATTCCAAATGTATCTGAAAGTACATAAAAGGAGCTTTCCAAAGGTGTATGATGAAATAGACGTTACTGCAAATATACACTAAGCCAGGGAAATTCCCTGTGCAGCATCAGATTGCATCAAACGGAGCAACAGAGAGAGAAGGAGACAGTTTGAAAGTGGATAAAATTATGGAAATACTTCAAAGAACATCCATCAAACTCATAAAGTGTCCCAGAAGACTAATATCTGAAGACGGTGACAATGAAGAGGGACAGGATATCAGCGAACCAGGGTATGTACCAGTAAAATGTTTGCACAAGCTAACTTTTTTAATGCTACGCAACTAGGCCTGTCACGATCACAAATTTTGTTGGGCGATTGTCTCAAAAATTATTGTGATAAACAATAATATTGATTGAAATTTGACTAAAAAAATAATTATCAATTTTAAGAAGAAAAGTTTAATTTGTTTTGCGTGTAGTACCGTTTTTGACCATCGGACGGCAGTATACAGTGTTTCCCCTAGTTAGCTTGCCATGGCGGGGTGCTCATCTCATCCATGACTTTTGCTGATGGGGGGGACAGAGACATGTCTGAGCGCAGCTTGTACTAATAGTTTTTGAGCGGGGGCGGGGGACGTTCAACATGAGGGAAAAGGCAATGCGAGTGCTGCCTTGGGCTTTTTAGCTACAGAGCCTGTATTTTGCGCCGCTAGCTTAGTGATATGTCAGTGCCGGGTGGGAATGGGAAGGGCAAGTTCAGTTTGGTAGGCGGGGTGCTCAGTTTTGTTGGTGGGGTGGGGCACCCTGCCTGTATAATGGTAGGGGAAACACTGGTATAAGACTGTTTGAATCAAAGGATGGCTAGTGAGGGAACAAGCAGTGTCTCTTAAGAAAAAATGGGAGGGAGGCCCCTTGACGTGACATGGGCTGTTTCTTCGGTTCTCAAAATGGCGGACGCTCGGTGTGGTTTGAGCTCTTTAGCATAGCATTTTTCACACAACGCTTTTAATAAATACAAAAAAAGAATCAGTAAACAAGTTCCCAGCTTCTTTTTGCAAAGAAAAACAACTTTTTACACAAAGGCACGGGTTTCAACCATGAATTTTGGAGCTTCGACAAGACGGAGGTTTTTTCCGAGGTCGGCCTGTTAGCTTAGCTTGTAGCTTAGCTGCTTTTAACGATCCAAAAACGCGCAATTTTGAACCGTTAAAACAGATTTTAAAGAGAGAAGAGAAAGGGAGGGGTCAGCGAAGAGCACCGGAGTTTAGCTTTTTTGTCATCCAGTGTCTTCAGTAGAAAGAGAGAGACACGAAAAAACGATAAAGACGATAAATGAAAACGAGGTCGATAATTTTCATTTATCATGCGATTCATTGATTTATTGCGACAGGCCTATACACAACTATTGGATAAATGTTAGCTTCATCCTCATTCCAGCGTAATTTATCTTTGTACAATAAATATTTATTATGATGAAAATAAAACGTTATATCATTGCAGTTTTTTTTTTCCATTTTGAGAAATTAAATTATTTTTCATTTTTATTTTCATCATTTTTTTGGCTGTCTGCAGCTTAAGACGAACTGCTTTAATAGGATCTAGCACACCAAATAAAAACGCCTGAAAGAAAATAAAAAAAATACATAACAGGCATAAAAACTGGTAAATTAAGAGTTCAGGCTTCACAGTTTTTATGTAATATAGATCAATGTTCAAATTGTTCATTATAAATCGTTTACCCCTGTCATTTTTAAGTTCCTGTTGAGTAATAAACTTGAAAATTTCAACTCCGGTTTTTGTTTTTTTCCCTCTTTAAGCTGTTTGTTTACAGTCTTTAATAGACACAATAACTACCAGACACTGAAAGCTGAGGTTGTTCTGGAAAAAAGAGCAAAAACACTTTTTTTTTTTACAGTTTTACAGCTATAAAATAAATAAATACCAGATGGCCCAGTTATAATTATGGTCATAAGAGTGTTAAGTATACTATAAAATAGACTAAAGAAAGTTAAAACAAAACAATAAAGAATAACATTAAGAGTGCCTTTAAAAGCTGAATGTTGTTGTTTCTGCAGTAAAACCTGCATGTTTTTTTTTTTTCCTGAGGACTTACATGAAGGAATGATGAACTGTGGCTCTGTGTTTCCAGCATAGCCGAGCTTTGTGTACCTGAAGTGGAGCAAAATGACAGAAAATGAAAGAATGACTAGTTTTTATTTGGTGAAAGGAATAAACCGAACAAATAAAACCAGGAAGTTGCGTTAGCTTCAGCGACTAGCAACAGCTAATACTAAAAACTAACAAACAGTAAAACAATAAACTAGTCTAACACTTCTGCGAGTTAATTTATAGATTTGACCCTTGCGGTTACAGGCGAAGGCAGGAACAAAAAGAAGTAATGAAGCTTAGCTTGGTGGTTTTTAGCAGCTTTCAGGGCGTTAGCCGCTAACTGCCTGTCTTATTTTGGTAGCTTACCCAGTTCCACAGTCAACAACGCACGCGGGGAGCCGACCAGCCATGCCTGCCCTCCGACAGTCCGAATAAAACCAGAGTTTTCAGGGGCCTGCACCGGCCGGGTGTCTTGTTAAAAAGAAAACAAGAAAACACTTTAAACCGCAGCGGCTTGTTGAATGAACAGCAGCTACCGCTGATTCAGCCACTTCCGGGTTCAGTGCGGTGGGCGGAGTTTCTTCTGACGCAGAGTCAGCACAGCAGCTGCGGTGACGCAACACTACCCCCTTCTGGACAATCACTGGTACTGCATGCACATGGAAAGTTATTTTTAAAGGTTCAGTCAGCTCCTCAACCTTGATAGACGTATTCACCTGGATTATTGAGCATGCATCATGTTTTTTTAAAAGAAAAAGCACAAGTATACGAAATAAAATAAAAAACTAGTAAGATAAACAAATCTATAAAAAATAATAATAAAAACTCTCAAATCAAAAATTACCTGGACTCATTTAACATCTTACCGCTCCATCAATCTGGTTTCAGGAAACAACACAGCACGACTGCTTCACCAAAGGTTCTTAATGACGTTGTTGAAGCACTGGATGCTAAGGATTATTGTGCTGCACTTTTCTTAGACCTGTCTAAAGATTTTGACACTGTGGATCATAACATCTTGTGTCATAAGCTCTCAGAAATTGGTTTCTCAGTTCACACCATTGGTTGGTTCTCTAACTTTCTCTCAGATCGGAGGCAATGTGTTCAACATAATGGTACTTCCTCCAGTTACTTAACGGTCAACAATGGTGTACCACAAGGCTCAGTCTTAGGACCCACACTCTTTACAATCTACATAGGTAATGTAGGTCAGAGCATCCCTGAAGCATCCATACATTTCTATGCTGACGACACAGTTGTTTATTGTTGAGCTAAAACAGTTGCTAAGGCTTTCCAGCTTTTGCAGTCCGCATTTGACATCATCCAGTCTGATTTGTTCCACCTCGAACTTGTCTTAAATGCAGATAAAACCAAAGGGATGCTTTTTTCAAACAGGGAGAAAAAAAAAGAAGAAAATATGTATGCCTCTTTTATGATTGATTGTCCATTGGTGTCATCGCTTTTTGTTGAAATCAGGTCTCTCTTGTAAATGAGTCCTCGAGGCTCAATGGGATTAACCTGTCTAAATAAAGGTTGAATTGAATGAATTTTTTTTTAAAAACTGCGGATAAATTAAGGTTTTTAACTATTATTTCTGAAGGTGTTCCACGTTAATTAGATAAAATAAACTGAACTGAAATAACTTAATCAATCTTGTGCAGATTTCACCTCCTTTTTTTTTTTTTTTTGGCTGTTCCCTTCTTCAGGGGTCACCACAGGGAACTAACTCGCACGAAGATTTGCCGATTGTTTTTACGTCGGATGCCCTTCCTGACACAACCACAGACCACCGAGCTACCACAGCCCTCTATGTGGAGCAGAGCTGCCACCTAGGGTGCCCGGGGGAGCAGATGGTGGGGGTTAAGAGCTTTGCTCAAGGGCCCAGAGTGTGGCAAATGAGGGTGAAGGTGGTGCTTCACCTTTCCCACCCACATCCTTGATGTTATTGATCCACGGGATCGAACCAGCGACCTTCCAATCACAGGCTCACCTTCTCTAACCTCTGCGCCACCATTCCCCCATCATCATTTCCTTATCATACTCTCTAAAGTATTTTTAAGTAAAACTTTTGAAATATTTATAATAAAGTTTTGCTTGTTTTGTATGTCTGTTAGCAAAATATTGCATGAACCACCAAAGGGATTTTATTGAAACTTTCAGGAAGTAATCAACAGATGCATGTTCACAACTGGTTTACTTCTGAAGTCAATCAAACGGAAGATGGCCTCCCCAGCTAACCGACCGTTGCCGTCACATACATGGCTCTAACTCAGTCAGTTTTACAGACACTGAGCGAGATGGAGCATAATGTCAAAGTATGACCTTCTGTAAATCAATCCTTTAATTTTGACATGTTAATTCAAATCCTTTGTCTGCTGTTAAAAAAATATTTTTGATTGGGATTTACTGGTGGGATATAAATCCATGTATATGCCAGCTTTGCTTTAATATAAAGAACCTACATTTACAGAAATTAAACAATTTAATAAAACTCTGAAGACCCAGCTCACCTCGTGCTGACTCCACTTGATGACATCAGTGATTTAATGTAGCTGACATCAGACACCCCCCCACCCAGCGCGAGGCGTCGCTGATAAAGATGTAACAGGAAGGAGCTTCAGGGCCGGATTCAATCCCGGGGCCCCGGAAACACCGGCCCTCTGTCAGACGGAGTCATCGCTCACGCAGGAGTCTATAACCAGGGCAGCGAGGCCCTCGGATAGAAACGGTCCCTCGTACTCGTCCTGTCGAGTCCGCCTGATGGAAAATCTCTATCAAGGCCTGCGGGGGAACCCATTTATCTGAAGACTGTCAGCAAAGGAGCAGCAGACGCCAAAAGCAAGAGCCTCCTCTACCTCAGAAAGACGAGAAGAAGTCTTATCGTCAAAAGAACTTCAACAAAACGCTCGGCTTTACGAAGCAGAAACAGAAAAAGCTCAATGTTGAAGTTGCAGCTTTAAGTCTAGGTTTAAAAAACGAGTTGCACGAGGTGACGAAAAACAAAGTCGTTCCACAAATGAATCAGAATGCAACTTTAAAAAGTTGATAAATGAATAAAAGAAAAAGACGTTGGGTGCACAACTTCCTTTACAAATATCATACTACCATCTGGTTTGATTGGCAGCCTTGCTCAGCAAATAAAATCTCTAAAAATATTTAAAAAAAAAAACAACTAATAGAATCAATACAGGTTGCCACGTTTTACAACCAAAAGGCAAAAACTGTGAAATCCCCCAAAACATAAAACAACTTGGTTTTAAACTCATAAGACAAATGCAGTTGTTAAAATAAAAAGAAATTTGGAAATCTGGACAGATAAAAGCAGAGATGTTTACCCATAATGCATCTCACCATGCGTGACGAAAACCAAAACGGTAAAAAAAGAAAAAAAGGATTAGGTGCAACGACCCTGTGATAGACTTGCGACCTGTCCAGGGTGTACCCCGCCCCTCGCACAGTGATTGCTGGACATGGGCACCAGCGACCACCGTGACCCAAAATGGAATAAGTGGGTAAAAGATATTGAATGGATGGATGCAACAAACCTGAGCAAAAATACAAAACATTTAGATTTATGCGAAAATGCTCAGAGCTAAATGACTTTGATGAAATTTATTGGAAAATGGGAAAATGAAATGAATAAAGCTGAACTTTTAATGTTAGCTGAATATTAATATTTAACAATTTGTTTGTTGGAGCCTGGGGACTTTAGGTCCAGCCCTCCAATCTCTGGTGCTGAGGTCATCAAGGTGGTTAAAAAGCTCCTCAGTGGCAGGGCCCTAGGGGTGGATGAGATTCGCCCGGAGTTCCTTAAAGCTCTGGATGTTGCAGGGTTGTGTTGGCTTACGCAACTCTGCAATGTTGCGTGAACATCAGGGGCAGTTCCCCAGGATTGGCAGACCGGGGTGGTGGTTCCCCTATTCAAAATGGGGGACCGTAGAGTGTGTTCCAACTACTGGGGGCTCACGCTCTTAAGCCTCCCTGGTAAAGTCTATTTGGGGGTTCTGGAAAGGAGGGTCCATTGGATAGTCGAACCTCGGATTCAGGAGGAGCGGTGCGGTTTTCGTCCTGGTTGTGGAACACTGGACCAGCTCTACACTCTCAGCAGGGTCCTGGAGGATGCGTGGGAGTTTGCCCAACCAGTCTACATGTGCTTTGTGGACTTGGAGAAAGCATTCGACCGTGTCCCTCGGGGAGCCCTGTAGGTGGTACTCCGGGAGTATGGGGTACCGGGCCCTTTGATACGGGCTGTTAGGTCCCTGTACGACCAGTGTCAGAGCTTGGTCTGCATTGCTGGCAGTAAGTCGGGCTCATTCCCGGTGATAGTTGGACTCTGTCAAGGTTATCCTTTGTCACCAATTCTGTTCATAACTTTTATGGACAGAATTTCTAGATGCAGCCAAGGTGTTGAGGGGATCTGTTTTGGTGGCCTTAGGATCGCGTCTCTGCTTTTTGCAGATGATGTGGTCTTATTGGCTTCATCAGGTCGTGATCTACAGCTTTCGCTGGAGCGGTTCGCAGCCGAGTGTGACGTGGCCAGGATGAGGATCAGTTCCTCCAAATTCGAGTCCATGGTCTTGAGCCGGAAAAGGGTAGAGTTCCCTCTCCGGGTTGGGGAGGAGGTCCTGCCCCCAGTGGAGGAGTTCAAGTATCTTAGGTTCGTGTTCACGAATGAGGGAAAAATGGAGCGAGAGATCAATAGGCGGATAGATGCGGCGTCTGCAGTGGAGCGGGCGCTGTACAGGTCTGTCGTGGTGAAGAGAGAGCTGAGTAAAAAGACAAAGCTCTCAATTTACTGATCAGTCTACGTTCCTACCCTCATCTATGGTCATGAGCTTTGATTTGTGACCGAAAGAACGAGATCTCGGATACAAGTGGCCGAAATGAGTTTTCTCTGCAGGGTGTCTGGGCTCTCCCTTAGAGATAGGGTGAGAAGCTCGATCATCCAGGAGGGACCCAGAGTAGAGCCGCTGCTTCTCCACTTCGAGAGGAGCCAGTTGAGGTGGCTTGGGCATCTGTTTAGGATGCTAGGCATCCTAAACAGATGCCTAGCATCCTAAACAGAACATGTTAGCAGCGTGGACCTGTTAGCAGTGTGGAATTGTTAACAGACTGTTCCTGTTAGCAGCGTGGACCTGTTAGCAGTGTGGAATTGTTAACAGACTGTTCCTGTTAGCAGTGTGGAATTGTTAGCAGACTGGTCCTGTTAGCAGCATGGGCCTGTTAGCAGTATCGGCCTGTTAGCAGCATGGACCTGTTAGCAGTGTGGACCTGTTAGCAGTGTGGAATTGTTAGCAGTGTGGAATTGTTAGCAGCATGATCCTGTTAGCAGTGTGGTCCTGTTAGCAGCATGGACCTGTTAGCAGCATGGACCTGTTAGCAGCGTGGACCTGTTTGCAGTGTGGAATTGTTAGCAGATGGGTCCTGTTAGCAACATGATCCTGTTAGCAGTTTGGTCCTGTTAGCAGTGTGGTTCTATTTAGCAGCATTGTACTGCTAGCAGTGTGGTTCTGTTAGCAGTGTAGGCTTGTTAGCAGCATGATTCTGTTAGC